TGTGTGTGTGTGTGTCTCACTGAACACATTTGTCATCACTTTGCCTATAAATTCATTACAAGAGCGTGTTCAGACTTAAGTCATCTGAATGTATGTGAGAATGTGTCTGAACTCATGCTTCACTGCGTGTTGATGTTAATATGTGTGTGTGTATGTGTGATTGTATGTTATTGTAGATCTGTGTTAGGCCGGAGCTTTAAAGACGATTATTTCTTTCACTCGTTCTCCCTTTCGTTATCAGGCCCTTCGTCACGGCAGTTGATGTCACAGTGACCTTTGACCATCACATTATAATCAGTTCATCCTTGAATCCAAGACAACATTTTTTAGTAGATTTGAAGAAATTGCCCACGAGGGGGACGAACAGACGGCCACCCCAAAACACATAACGCCTTCCGGCCTTGGCTGTCTGCGGCGTGGAGCCAAAAAAGTGACACCCACCATATTAATGAGCAGAAGTAGTAGCTTTAAACTTTATTGATCGAGTGTGTGTGATATACACTGAAGTAGAGGAGTGCTTCTCTGGAGCTCCACACAAGAACTCAGCTCAGAGTGCAGATGAATCATATGAACTCTGGAGAGAGACGACCTGCTGCGGATTAAAGGACTCAGTGTACATCTAAACATTACATGCACTGGCCGACGTGTGTGTTGCTGAAGCCAGTGAAGTGTGGCGTCAAGAGAAGAGACAAAGAAATGGTGGTTTGATAGAGAGGACCTATCTCTGTTTATAACACACACACACACACACACCAGCTGGGACATGTCAAAGCATCATTTGGTGCTGTTTTTTTTTGTCTTAAGGAATTTCTGAGCGCACTGCAAAGACTTAGGCTATTAGAGCTGTGCAGTGTGTGTGTGTGTGTGTGTGTGTCTGATTGAGAGGATGTACAATGAAAAAAGCCAAACAGCAGCTTAACAATGAACACTGCAGAGAGAGAGAGAAGGACAGGAGAGGAGAGCGTTATGACACAGAGAGAGAAAGAGAGGGAGAGTAAAGAGGGAGACAGAGAGGGAGGATGAGAGAGAGGGAGAGATAAGCAGGACAGATAGCCAGAGTGAACAATGTTGTTTCACTCCAAATAAATCTTCCTTCACAATGGTTTTAATTACGCAGATCATTTTGATGTCCCTCTCTTCCTCCTTCTATTCCTCCTGCTTTCTTTTTTCCTGCATCCTTTACTCAAATTTATTACTCTCCAAGCTCTCTGTGTGTGTGTGTGTGTGTGTGTGTGTGTGTGTGTGTGTGTGTGTGTGTGTGTGTGTGTGCGTGCGTGTGTGTGTTTACACTCACCCCTTTACAGATAGCGACAGCTTCCTTGGACATCGACTTTGGATAGGAGACGTGATGCTCCATGATTGACTGAAATAACTCATCCTCATCCTCACCGTCAAATGGAGGCTGGAGAGTTGAAGAGGAGGAAGAAGAAGAGGAAGAGGAGAAAGAGTGGATATTTAAACAGAAAACTTTTTTGGTGTAGAGTCCTTTCAACAAAAAGCTGAAGGTCTTTTAATCTCACAAAACACAAGATCCACCCCAGCTGAGATATCCAGGATTTGAGAATGTCACATTTGCTCTTATGAATGATTTATACATGAGACAAAAACTCATATATATAATTTAATGCCTGACCTTTCATTAGAAAATGTCACATTTTAAAGGCTTCGATAATGAGCGTTTGTTTTTTTTCCACAATCAGCCACAAACACAAATGCTGATTAGAGAAGTCTGACTCACACAAACACATTGTTTGAAAACACACACACACACACACAC